GAAAGTAAAAAGCCAAAGAGAAGGCCCTGGGGGCATGCTTGCACATCACGGCTCACCGCAGGCCAGCGCTCACTGCCTGTGCCAACAGCTGCCCTGGGGAGGCACCCAGGCCTGGTCCCCTAGGTCCTGGCTGTGGGCACAGAGGCCCAGAGGGTCCCCTCACTGGGGGAGCCATCCCGACGGTGGTTGGTGGCTGAGCCACTACGCACCAGCCGAGCACCTGCCTGGCGTCAGCATTCCCACACAGTCACCCATTCATTCGCCCGTCCGGCCACTCATTCCTTCACTCACTCACTCAGCCATTATCTACTTAGCACCTGCCTGTGCCGGGCACGGGGGCTGGACACACACGTGGGCCAGAACACACCTGGGCCCAAAATGCCCGCAGACAAATGGAAAGTCACAGCTAAGACAAGGGCTGGGGTAGGAGGTGCCGGGGTCGGGGCCTGGTCCGGAGTCAGGGAAGGCTTCCTGGGGTGAGTGGTGGGGAGGGAGGGGGCGGACAAGCAGACAGAGGCCGGGCAGGGGCCGTGGGCAGAGCCGGGAGGAGGACAGCTGGGCACAGGGGCCACCCCAGCCCGGACGCTGGCAGAAGCCCACCCCCTGCCCAGCACCTACCAAGCCACTCGTTGAACTTCTTCACCTCGCTCGGGAGGCCCAGCTCCGTGAAGTCGCCCGCGTGGATGAGCACGTCGCCGTACGGCATCTGGATGGGGTCTGTCCTGGAGTGGGTGTCGGATACGCAGACAAAGCGGGTGTAGCCGGGTGGCTTGGGGGCATCGTGAGGCACGGGGTCCACCCTGTGGGAGGAAGACACGCGTCACGGGGTCACGGGGTCACGGTACCACATGTGTATCTGTGCTTTACAATCATGAGGGCAAGGTTCTCACCCCGCAACACAGGCTTCTGTGGGGGTGCTATCGACCCAGCGAGAATACAAGGACTGACATCCACGGTCCGGCGGAAGAAGTGGGTCCCAGGGCAGCGCACACCCCAGGAGAGCCGCCGTGAAATGGGGGGCTCCCAGGAGCATGTGGAACAGAGGCACGGAGAGAGCGGCAGTGCTCCGGAACTGAGGACGTCTGATCCCCGAGAGCACAGGCTTTGGGGGAGGCGGGGTGAGAAAGCAGCCCCGGAACCACAAGAAAAGGCTTCAAACCCAGCTCGGCACTTGCCACTAAGGTGTGGCCTTAAGCAAAACACTCGGCCCTGCCCCATGAACCTGGAGGTCACAGTTCGATTCCCGGTCAGGGCACCTGCCCGGGTTGCGGGCTCGATCCCCAGGGTGGGGCGTGCAGGAGGCAGCCGATCCATGATTCTCTCTCATCGTTGATGTTCCTATCTCTCTCTCTCTCTTCCTCTCTGGAATTGATAAAAACATATTGACAAAAAAACACTTGGCCCTGGTTGGCGTGTCTGTAAAATGGAGCGGCCTCACGAAGCAAAGACACACAGAAAATGAAAACGCTGCAGGGACATAGGTCCGGTCCCCGGAGCCCGTGGCAGTGAGGACGCACACGGAGCAGGTGGCTGGTCCCAGAGAGCAGTGCAGGCCCACCCCCTCCCCCGCTCAGTGCCCCCCCACACCGCCTCCCCTGCCTCTCAGCTGAATGACTCTGCCAGGCTCCCAACTCTTAAAAACAACGCAATGACATTTCCACGCAGCTCTCTCCAAATGAGGGTGCCGCTCGAGGAGTTCATTGTGTTTAAATCTAATTATGCGGCACGCCGAAAGCAGGGCCGTATCAGTTACATAAATACTTTTAAAGACATCTTTCTAATTATCCTTTTTTTTTCCAGACAATATACTTCAAAGAAATTTAATTAACACCTTACGAGAGACGTGGGTTCAGCATGCTAATGTGCAGGCGCCTGTGCGCTCAGTCCGGCCCAGTGAGAATCCCAGCAGGTCGGCGCTGGGCCCAACCCGGAGCGGAGGAAGACTCCCCGAGCCAGCGACGCCAACAGGGGGTGCTGGGAGCTCCTCCTCTTCCCTCTTCATTCATTCACTCATTCACTCATTCACTCATTCACTCATTCCCTGTTCACTCAGCACAGCACCTTCTGCCCACTCCTGGGAGCCAGCCCCTGAGCTTAGTGCTGGGGCCACAGGGATGCACCAGGCCCAACCCCAGCCAGGAGACCCCACACGTGGCCAGACAATAAAGCCACAGCTTTCATGGGGCAGCAGCGGGGGCGGG